GGTAAGGGAGAGTGATGGCCCCCCAATTTCTGAGACCGGCCCCCACTGGCAAGTTAGCCCCTGGGCTTGGGGAGGCAGTGGCGTTCCCGGGGAGGGGGGCGCCTCCTGGGCGCCCAGCGACGCGGAAGGCGCGCCACGGAAATCTGCAAACTTCAAATCGACGGAGCTAAATTGGGGAGTGGGCGACGGGAGTCAGGCGTGGGGGGAAGGGAAGCTTCCATTGTCAGTGACCCAGGTGTACAATGGGAAATTGCGGGGAGGCTGGCAGAGTGACCCCGCTATTGGCTGCTGACTCCTTTTTACCCAGGCCGAGAACCCCGAGGACACCGCGAGCCCCTCATTAGAGACTCTGAAGACCCAAAACCAGCGCAATAGGGAGGACTCCCCCATTTTCATGAATGTTTTTTAGAGCGCGGTTCTCTTTAAATGTGATAGAACACCGTGGGCACTGTCTCTTTAAAAGAGTCAAGCAGAAAAAGCTGTGTAAGCGCTGATTGGCTGCCTGTTTGGATACATCTTTAGGGGAGCCTTGAAACTGTTAGCCTAGGTTGATTTTTTTTTTTTTTAACTGCGCTGTTCCAATAAACAAGTAACGCCCCTCCCCCTAACATGCCTAGCTCCAAACAATTAAAGGATAGGTCAGTGTCCTGGGGAAAACACGTTCGGAGTAGAAAGACTCAGAACTAGATTCCAACAAAATAAAGAATAATTCCCTACCATTCAAGTTTGCTCATTTTGATCTGTAGAAGGGAGAAAAGGGGCTTTTAAAAGAAATGCCCCGCAGCAAACTGATCTGCGTTGGTTCAGGAAGGAGACGCTGGGTGCATTTTTGGAAGAATGTTCTACTCCACGGAACAGCCTCCCCGAATTAGAATACAGCCAAGCCCTAGGGAGCCTGGGAGGCACTCTGTTCTCCGCCGGAACCGAGCTCTCAGGAGAAGGGGACAGAAAGAGGGACACACTGAACCTCAGCCCATGGTGGACTCTGCTGAGCCCCTAGTCTAAAGGTGGTTTTGTGAATGGGAGAGGCCTGGAGTTGGGGAGGGAATTGAAACACAAGGATGGGGGAGAGAAGGAAATAATTACAGTTATTTTTCCCCTAGGCAGTTTAATTTAATGGGACTAACTTCAGGTACCTTAGAGCCCACACTAATTAGATTGGCCTGCTCATACCTTTCCCCTGGACTAGGGGCTAGGAAAGGCCAGGGATGCTTGTCAACAGACTTGACTCACAAGAAGCCTGACTCATCCCGGGTCTGCAAGGCCCACGCCGTGGGAGGATTGGTTCGGTCCTGGCTAAAGGAAAACAGGCCCTTCTCGGCCCTTCTAATCGCGGCCATGCCCTGGCAGTGTCAGGGCTGCAGCACAGGGGTATCTGGGCATCATGTTCCTCACCTGTCAAATGTGGAGGGGGGTGGGGGGTAAGAGATCTTTCCTCTCTCTTGAGACTCTGATGTTCTCTGATGCTGATTTCCCTTCTGTAGTTTTCTTTCCCCACCCCACCTTGGAGAAAAACGGACTAACACCTCCTCGCAGAGCTTGTGTGGCCAGAAGAGAGGGATGACTTTTGGGGAACCTGTGCCAGGCACTCTGTCCCTTCGCTGGGGCCTGACACAACATGAGGCCCCAAGTCAGGAGGCTCCCGGTGGAGCTACAAGAGACAGCGGCTCTTGTCTAGAAATTGGAGGACGGGGGAGAGACCGGGAGGAGCTGGCAGTGGGCTGGACAGAAGGGAGCTGAGGGTTCCCGGGGGCAGGACCACTGAGCAGCCCAACTAAGCGTGCAGCCGCTGGCACTGGGATCCAAAATGCAGTCACATAAGAAGCAAGCCCAACACCAGGAGCAGCACTCAAAACCCCACCCTCTTGCCCCACTCTACCCCCGGCCCCCACCTCCCTGGACCACATCCTTGGGCCTGGTTTCTCTCCCACCTCAACCCCTTTCTTTTTTTTTTTCTTTTATTATTTTTTTAAATATATTTTTATTGATTTCAGAGAGGAAGGGAGAGGGAGAGCGAGATGGAAGCATCAATGATGGAAGAGAACCACTGATGGGCTGCCTCCTGCAGGTCCCCCACTGGGGATGGAGCCTGCAGCCTGGGCATGTGCCCTGACCGGGAACTGAACCGTGACCTCCTGGTTCATAGGTCGATGCTCAACCACTGAGCCTCACCAGCCAGGCCCACCCCCTTCTTTTGCCATTCCATTCCCTAAGGCTGACATCCCCGCCAATGCCATCTCCCCCACAACCCCAGGAACACCCCCTCCCCTCCCTGCTTTTCACTTCTGGAGCAACAGCCTTCCCTCTCTCCCTCTGCTTGGTCTCATTTTGTTTGAAGCTACATGGTAGCTCCGAGTTCATTCTGCCTATTGTTGTAGCCACTTGTTTACTGTCTGTCTCCACCAGCCAGACTGGGGGGAGGGGGAAGGAACTAATTCTGAGTCATCTGTGTGTCTCCAGCACCGGTTTAATACCTGTGTGCATGTTAACATCCCACGGAGGCACCGGGAGCTATAGGGACCATAAGAGGAAAAATGGCCCCAATCCTCACAGTAGCTCTGGGCCCCGGGGGGATATAAGAAATGGACACCACCAGTAATAGGGTTAGATAAGGCCACTGGCCCCAGCCCCACCCACCTAAGCTACTGGCCACCTAGAAGTACTGAACTTTTCCTTTCCCAGAATGCACCGAGGGACCTCACACACCCAACCCAGACTCACTCATTCTTTCTTGAGATATCTCTCTCTTCCCCCCCCCTCTCTGCACCCCCCTCTCTCTCTCCCTGACTCCCTCCCTCCCTCCCTTCCTTTGTTTTCTTTCTTTCTTTTAAGCTATGTTTATTGAGCATCTACTATGTATCAAACACTATTCTAGGCACTGGGGTAATAAAACAAAATTCCTTACACCCTGGAGCTTACACTGTTGTGAAACCCTCTGCCCCAAAGCCTCTTCCTGTAACATTGCTACTGATTGTTCTAAAATCCAGCCTCTGGGTTCCTGCCTCTGGGTTCCTCTCCCAGG